AAAAAATGGTATTAAGTGTTCAAAAACTCTTGAAATGTTGACAGTGGCGTACGGTGAGTCAACTTTGAGCAAAAAAAATGTTTATAAATGGTATAAGTTATTCCAAGAGGGCCGAGAAAATGTTAACGATGAACCTCGCTCTGGACGCCCCAGCACGTCAAAAACCGACGAAAATGTTCAGGAAGTGAAAGAAATTGTGTTGAAAAATCGTCGAATCACGATTAGAGAAATAGCTGATGATCTTAACATATCGTTTGGCTCATGCCAATCAATTTTAACGGATGTTTTGGGTATGACACGTGTGTCAGCGAAATTCGTTCCAAAACTGCGTTCCAAAACGTCGTTACTAGTGAGTAGTTTTTTGGCCAAAAACAATACTATCATCATGCCTCAGCCACCGTATTCACCAGACTTGGCCCCCTGCGACTTTTTCCTCTTCCCAAAATTGAAAAGGCCCATGAAAGGACGAAGATTTGCGACGATTGAGGAGATTAAGGCTGCATCGCTGGAGGAGCTCAAGGCAATACCCAAAAGTGCATTTCAGAAGTGTTTTGACGACTGGAAAAAGCGCTGGCACAAGTGCATTGTATCAGAGGGGGATTATTTTGAAGGGGATAACATAATTTTGGATGAATAAATGAATATTTTTTTATAAAAATGAAAAGTCACCTTACTTTTTTATCACACCTCGTAGTTAAAATAACGTGTGAAATAGAAGGAAACAGTGCAAACCTACAAGTGAAATATACAAATATGATATAATAAACTTACATAAGATAAAACATATACAAGTAAATATTGTGAATATAGTGTAAGCAGAAAATTGGTATATTGTTTACTTCACAAAGACGACTATTATGATGAATATATTAATAATTGAAATCTTAATGGAGGTTATCAACACATAATCAATTAGTTTTAATGTTGGACTCGACGAAATACTAGCAATTTTCACTTAAGCAACAACGAATCAGTCTAATAGCAACTTTCAAAGTAGTTTTACAATCACATTCGAAATGGTATATATGCGGTATTCTCGATAACATATATAGGGTGGTTGGATTGTACGACCCCACTCGTCCCGAGCAGGTAGAGTGAACTAAATTAAGTCGAAAAGTCCTATACTACAATATTTTGCAATGCTCGCAATAATTAACGAAATATTAAACGTTTATAAATAACGGAATACGCGCGTCCATCCGACCTACTATTGTTGAAGGTACTATTGCCCACCGAGCGCACAGCGCGCGGAGAATGGGGCAAGCGCTCCACAGTGTATACAGCGCAACTCTGATTTTATGTTGGCTAAAATGGAGTGCGCATGCGTGAAATAAGTTGCCCCGTCTCTTTTTCTTTTTTTTAATTGTTCTCTCTCTCTCTCTCTCTCTCTCTCTCTCTCTCTATTTAAATAAGCGTTTCAATGTTCCACTTAAACATTTGTCTTTCAAACATATGGGTCAGAGTAGAAATTTAGAAGAAAGTATTACGTGTATTGTTCATTTGGTGAAATGTTGTGTGAGAAATCTCGAGAGATTGGTCTAATTTTTGTGAAAAAGTGATAAAGTGAAAAAGTGACCAAAAAATAACATAGAAAATCGAGCAAAAAGAATTTCTTTTTATTTATTGTATTTTAAATTTATTTTTTGGATATACATGTATTATATATAAATTTCTTTTATATCTCTCAGCTTTCTCATAACATTTTCATAGATATATAATTACATAATATTTCTTTATACAAATATACATTTTAAGTTAATTTAATATTTTTCCATTTATTCCATTTAATTTACAATTTATTTTTATTAATTTTCATTAAGTTCAGATTATTTTATTGTAATAGTAGGTTTATTCGCATTGCATGCTCTAATATGCTCTTATAACAGCTCTTACTCACTCCAACGCATTTGTTGGAATGCGAGGCGAATAAATCTGAGTTTTGACATAGCGAAAAAAGGATGAAAAGAGAAAGAAATTTAAGTGGTTACCATGGCAACGCTAGGTAACTTGCTTATTTCACGCATGCGCACTCCATTTTGGCCAACACTAACATCAAAGGTGCCGACAGGTTGCGCTACTGTATGTACTGTGGCGCTACTGTATATACTGTGGCTTCGCTCAGCGCCGCCAGTCTCTAAGCTCGAACGGCGCGGCGCACCTGTTAGGCCATCTTCGCTCCTCATGGCTTACGCTCGGTGAACCGTACCTTCGACAATAGTTAGTTGAGTGGACACGCGTATTCGGCTATCTTAAAATTTATATTAATTAATATCTCGTTAATTATTACGAGCAAAATAGTACAAGACTTTTCGACTTAGTTTAGTCTGCTCTATCTGTTCGACGTGGGACCGTACAATCCAGACACCTTGTATATATCACGTTCCAAAACATATAGGAAATATGTAAAATAAGACTTATCGCTATAACGCAACTTAGCGTACTAAATTATTACAAATATTTATTTGAATATATATTCCAATTCCACGAGAAACAAAGAAAACGTGCCGAAAAGCACACGGTAATGGCTTCCGGATGACGCAATCCGTGAATCCTCGTGATCGGCCTATCGTCGAATCGTCCTTCATAGGACGATAGGCATAATTGTGTATCTCGGCGATAAGAGAATGAAATCAGACTGCTCCCACCTAAATGTCGCAACATCTTTGCTTCAAAAAATCAGGTACCTCGGGCCTCAATGTTGCAATACACTTGCTTCAAAGAATTAGGCACCTCGGGCCTCAACATTACAACAAAGAATCAGTCACCTCGGACCTCAACGATATGCAGGCAGCTCGGGCCTCAGTGATATGCAAGCAGCTCGGACCTCAGCGATATGCAAGCAGCTCGGGCCTCAACGTTATGCAACTTTCGTTTCAGTTCGTCAAATTAGGTGGCTCAAGCCTCAACGTGATGCTCTAACTTTTATCAATGGTGAATCTAGACTAGGGAAGAAGATACGTAAGGAAGAAGCTGTATCACAGCGCCACTAAGCGAACCGGCAGAGCCATACACGCTCTATATAAGAGCCACCGCCAACCGCGTGTGCCGACGAATGCATGCACGCAAGAAATTTAAATAGTACAATTCGTAACAGATGCATAGAATCGGAACAAGATTTTCAGAGCATTCAAAGTTCAGAACGTCACAGCACAGCTTCGCGTACGTGATAAATCTGTTTAAATTCCGGAGTGACTGGCGAAGAGAGAAAAAACATGGTGCTATCTTTTATCATAAATCGCATTCGAAATTATTTGCTGAGTATCCGTTGGTTTGAATCTTGTATAAAAAATTATAAAATAAAGTACTCAATAATCTCATCAAGAGTCGATCATCGTAGAAACTTTATTTCTTTCGTTTTTCCATCCAGACATTAGAATATTCCTACGCCGAGTTTCCTCTATTTCTGGATTATTGTCTAGAAATTATCTACCAACTCTATACTAATAAATTATTTCTCTTTTTTTAAGATTATAAGGTTATTGTAATAACAAAGAATATATAAAAAATATAAATTATTTATTAACACTGTGAAAATATGTGAATTAATTTGCTACGTTTGTGTCATTAAAATGTGTCAAGCAAAACACCTTACGTCAACTACTATGGGGGTTAAAGAGGAATCCATTGGGATTCCAAAAGATTTCTTATGAAATTTGTTTCCATGAAGCATAAAAAAGGTTTAATTTGCTTTTATTTAAATATCTTTACAATATTGAATATTTTCGGAAACTTAAGTTGTGAAAGATAATGATGTCATATCGACTTAAATCTGAGGCATTTATTTTATTTTACAGTCACACATACTGTCGCAGTTCCATCCAAATGTAAATGGTCCAACGCAATCATAGGAATATCATCAAAAATAATAGAAAATTTTCTTTAATTCACTCATTTTTAGTTGCTCTTCACAATCCGTAAACTGATCCCTCCCTCTCTCTCTCTCTCTCTCTCTCTCTCTCTCTCTCCCTTTCCCTCTCCCCCCTCTCTCTCTCTCTGTGCGTGCGTGCGCACGCGCGTGTGTGTGAGAGAGAGAGAAAAAAAAGAAAAAGCAAATTTTTCAAATCAATTTTGACTTGATTCTGATGGTTTCTTTTATACTCTACAACAGTATTTATAAAAAATAATCTGCTTGTGGCTTCTTGCTGGGTATTCCGCGGCTTTCCTGTGGTGCCGCTTCAAATATCGTAAAGTCTCTCTGTAGATGCTCGTTTAGTTCCAGTATTGCAGCTACATTGCCGCATCTGCAATTATAAAATGTATAATTAATATAAAAAGATTTAGGTATCCAGGTATTTATAATTACATATATTCATACAATTTTAACCCTTTCGATACTACGACAACTGTGTCATCCAGCGTTGAATTACTGCTAACCGTGCACTAATGACAACTATAATTTAACAATTTTTTAAGGGTTATTACTATAAAACATGTTTAAGTATGATTTCCTTCCACCAATACTTTACATTACACAATAAAATTTAACTGCTATGTTCCTCCAATGAAGTGACGTTCATAATTGTCTTGTACAATGCCGTATTTGCAATTCGACTGTCTATATAGCAGAAGCAAAGTGACGAAAAATAATATCGTATCGAAAAGGTTAATAAAAAAAAATATATTGATAGAAAGGTAAAAAGATTTCTTTTATTAAAATTGTAGAAGTAATAAAATGTGATAAAAAAGTTTACAGAAACAAAATATATAAAGACTGAAGTTTTTAAGACTAAATGGTACAAAAATCGTACCATTGCTATAAAAGAGAGGTTTTGATAAAAACCATAACCATAGTCGACACAAGTGTCATTCTCTCTGAATGTCACAAAGATAGAACAATGTTGATTTGTGTCGACTTGTGTCGCCAAATGGAAAGCACCCATTATAAAGACAAGGGTATATGCTTGTGCGCATGGCCACGCTCCTAGAGCCAATAAAATTGTTCACAAGCGAACGTCATCGTTAAAACTCCTGACTAGTCGCGACGGCCATGTTGAAATCGTGACATCAGAAGCGAGGAATGACACGTTAATTTATGTTGCCATTTTTTAATCAAAACAATTTGGATGAAACGAAATGACAAGATCACTTTAAAATACTTGTAAAAATCGATGAAAATTGTCCTTTCCTCCCTACAGTCAATAAATGATCGTAAAAGACACGTAAACACACAGTCCGACAGCTGTTGAAACGAGTAAAATATACGCTTTTACATATAAAATTCCAACTTTTGTTTTCATTAATAATTACGACTTTGATGAGTACGAGACAAGTTACATTTTCACAATTAAGCAAATAATAACGAATGACACGCAAATAAATACCGTCGTCAAAACGTCACTTTTCCACGCCTATAAGCTCGGCCATTTATCGTGATACGGCGCTGTAACACAAACAAGCACGATCCCATGTCCGTGTACTCGCTTACGGCGCGCCGAGAGTGAAGCCGAGAGACAACGAGCTCCTTCTTACACTAGTCGCTTGTTTCAAGCGACCGAAAATGCTTTCTCGGCAATCTTGGCTGCTCGGCGGCCCTAGGTATCAATAAGGGGCAGACGGGCATTCTAAATAACATAGTAAGTTTTAATATATTGTAGCAATAGTGTACCCCTCCCATTAATCTCCCATTAATCCCAGAATAGTATAAATTATATTAAAACGCAACAGTTTACGAGATATTTAATTGTTTACGATTTTGTGTGTGTGTGTGTGTGTGTGTGTGTGTGTGTGTGTGTGTGTGTGTGTGTGTGTGTGTGTGTGTGTGTGTGTGTGT